AAAAACATGTTAGGATTGTGGAAGTGAAGCTAGTGCTGCTGAAGCCGCCTTTGCCCCAATCCAAATTACGCTGTAGCCAGTACTCCACAATTTGTCACATCGGTAGTACCCCTCTCGAGCAACAGATAAACAGCCTTGTCCAGGCTGCATCGCGCTGCCGCCGTTTGCGTTTAAACTGCGCTACTTTCTGCTCATCAGATACGCGGATGCACGAACTTGTTTTTTTTTAAAATTCATTTCAGCACAGCTGGAAGAACTTGCGCAGGCCAAAAAGTATTTCCAACCTACAGTAGAGAAATCAAGCTGGGCAACAATGTGGTCGGAGGAGATTAATAATCGGGCCTTCGGATGTTCTTCGTCTCAATTGTTTAAACTACTGACTACGGTAAGGTCAGAAACTTGTCTGTGAGTAATAGGACTTTAGTGTTTCTTACTTATGCACTAAGTACTGCTATCTAAGTACGCGTCAGAACTTTGGCCCAAATAATATCCTTTTATTTGCGGTCTTGCGTCCCGATGCTTTTTGAGCACTATCGATACACTCTTACAGAGGTAAAGGCCATAGTCCTTTGCTCACTTGCATGGCGTTTGCTAAAAAACATGCTATTCTTCCTGCTCTACTTTCCCATTCAGCAAGTAGACGGTTCAGTCGGTATCATTGAGTGCGTCTTCGCTAGTGCATGCATCGTCGACAGCCGGTATCAACTGTGCTTTTTTAACTGTCAGCTGTACTGTGCAAACTACAGACTGATTGATTTCATGAAATGTTAACCGAAGTTTTGGAATGGCTTTTCGTTTAGGAAGAATTGCTTAAGTGGGGTTGTAATATTGATTATCGTGCGGCAAAATCAAACGGTATGTCAGATATGCAAGCATTTTAATAGTAGTCTTTTCGGCTGCAAGAATCACACTCGGCCAAAATGACTATTGAAATAGTATGTTCTTTTTATATTGATTTTTGGTGCCCTTATACATTCAGGTATATTTTATCGAAAGTGTGAACAGAAATATTCTTCCTCAAACTCACTTTGTAACAAACCACCGTGCTTGTTAAACGTCAACTACACTTTGCAACCCCAACCGTCAGATCAATTTTCGAAAATACCCATGATAGTATGAAATATAAGGTAGTATTCGTAAAAAAGAACTCATAAACGCACCGGGAAAATATCTTCCTCTTCGCCAGTCAGTCGATCAGAATCGCAATGATCTTTCTGTATTCTCCCATTCGATTTTTCTCAACACATTTCATGCCTTTTCTTCCAGCTCTGTGCCTTTGGTGAATTCTTCCGGGGCGTTGGTGAAGTCGCGGCCTCCACCAGCCTGGGTTCCTCCTTTTATACAGAAACATGCTTGCGTTCGACACGCCAACCTCACGCTCGCGCGTTAGTCCGGTCCCTTGCTCTCCGTATTTTCAAACTTCTGGAACACTTGGCTGCGTGCAATCAGACTATACTCACGGAAATGTCTGAGATGGTTCGTAAAATCGCCATACGATATCGTTCAGACAATATCCTGCCGTTGCTTCTACAACTACCATTACATCCTCTTTTTTAGATTACCTGGCTGTGCGACGTTGCACTATCAGCAGCGATTTGTCAAACTGACAAACAAGACTTTCCGCCTGTTGAGCCTGAAGCCGATGGAAAAGTAAAGGGAGAGGCTTCGTCTAATCTCGAGCTCATTGTTGCCCTACACGACTTTGTGTGCACCAGTGGCCTCTCACGTGAAGAGAACATTGCTGATTGCCTGCCGCTGTGTTGGTTGTTGTTCGAGCGCATGGTATCTGCTGGTGTCTGCCCCTGCTCACATCAGTCTCAGGCCATCACGTTCGCTGGTCAAGCCGTGAATGCCATCATCTGCCGAATCTCAAACTATCTGCTCACTCGGGGAGTCGAACAGAGCCAACAGTTCTACCTCCTAGCACCCCTCCGACTGGCTTCAATGATGCACGAACTAACAGGAGATTTACAGAGGTTTGCCGTATTTCTGGCTAAACTTATCTCCTGGAAACTCCCCGCCTGTACCTTTCACCCGAGGCTCGTGGATGAGACCCCCTTTCTATCAGCTGCATCACCGGAAGACACAAAACTAGCAGTCGTCGCGCTTGCCTTTACCTGTCTCTGCTTGCCGGAGGCAGAACCTTTTAAAGCGGGCTCTCAACTTACTACTTCCCTCCTGCCTGACTTGCGGAAAAGAGAGGACCCCATTCTTTTCACCAATCTCAACGCCAGCCTCTTGGCTTTCCTGTTACGCGTGCCGAGCCAGAGTAGACGGCAGTACCAAGTGGCCAGCCTCTTTGCCAAGCTAGCCAGTCATTGCGTGAAGCAGCAGACGGCAGCCTTGCGTGTGGTCCTTGGGCTGACTCCACTGCCACCTGTAGGCGTGGATCGTGAGATCATTAACGAGATTGCGGCTGTTACCAACACCAAGTTGACGAACGTAGATCGTGCAGATCTGGTCTCCACTCTGACAAAAGTGGGCACCCCATGCAGACTTCTGAGTCGGGCTTTGGACCGTTTCCTATGCAGATGTTGACGACTGCTCCCTCCGCCTTCTCTCACCTGTACAAACACCTCCACTCCCTATGATTCTGACCACCGACACTGATGAAAAGAGCCCTACCACTGTATTTTTTTACGTGCTGATTAGTCCAAAAAGTAGCTGTTGAGAGGTAAGACTTTAAGCGGATTTTGCGGGCGGGTTGCACTAGGACTTCACACCAGTGAGTATACGACCGGTGGTTCTGAGGCGCTTGCACACCGGGCGTATGGGGAACCTAGATACAGTCTCGCGGTCTAAACCACTCTTCTCATTCTTATACGCTCTTTTAATGTCTGGAGTGTAAAGCAGTCTAAAACAGAAGCAGAAGAACGCATTGAGTCACCGAGGCTAAGAACTTCAATAGGATGTTCGAGTCTCTATCGGCACAGTGTCAACATTATCGCTAAAATTTCATCGATTCGTTTGGGGGACGTAGTTAGCCTGCACAGAAAATAAAATCTATGATGACAAGGCCCAGGCACCACATAAGAAGGTGGTCAATTTTGAGCAGTCTAGTTGCTAACAGTGGACTGTAGACTAAGATGCTCAAAACAAGCAGTGGTTCTCGGTATCTAATAGCAAAGGGCTGCTGCACACAACCATATACACGTCAAGCCAACGAAGCAGACACGTCGACGCTGTGCCATATATTGCAATCGACCCGAGGTCGAGAGGGACGTGGTGGGGAGGAAAGCAAAAACTATTGTGCGGTTCAGTCTGAGAAGCGGAGGACCTGTCACTGAAGGGCAAACAGACGAGTACGTCATATTTGCATGGCATTAATGGCCTTATAGGTTGTTTCGTCACGTTGCTCAAGTGGTACCCTAAAAGCGATGGCAGCGCAATTCGAACTCAAATTTTCTCGCTCCATTCGAGCTCGCAATTGATTGGCTGTTGGATCCCCTGCGCTAGGGTAAGAAAGGGTGCCAACCAGTGAGCGCGCAGCTGCCCACCTGCGAGTAGATGATCGATTCCGGTGCACGCTGAGCAGCCGGGCGACGTCGCCAACTCATGCCTGACGCGGCATTTCTGCCTAAGTCAAGCCGCCGTGCACAAGCTAACGAGCACTCCCCCTGCCAGCTGCAATTGTTAACTATTGTTGTTCTTGCACATGAGCAATTTTATAGCCTACAACGATAATAACAGGCCACGGCGAATCAGGCGGCAGAGGTATAATCGGAATATTAAGGATGTTTGGCAGATTTGGTTAATTTAGTTGACCCAATTGTGATTGCTTAGGAAATCCTCCTTGGGCAGTCAAATTGCTGTCCCGTACTGGTGAATTCCATACGAGCGGCAAAGTTGGGCGAGTAATATCGATCCAACTGTGACTAAACTCACGGTGTGAAGCATGACATTCGTAGCTAAAGTAGGTAGAGCGTTG